GTAGTGTAGGGCATCGAAAGTATAAAAAACGAAACCAAATATAGATCTGTATTTTAATCAGATTGATATATGATAGAATAAAATATTAATGTTCCAGCAAAATAAATAGAAAATGTTTCATAAATTTTTCATGGTCCAACTTTTCCAAACTCCCTCCAAACCATGTTATGTCTACCATGTATGGCATGTTTAAAGCAGCTAAACCTCTAACTCAATAGTATCCAGAAAATTCCAAATTAAAAACCCGAATTAAAATTCAATATTGGCCCATTTCAAAGAGGAATTGCGCTTACGTGACCACATAAATTTGGACATAATTAAACTCCACCTCAAACCATTATATATGTAGTTACTATAATGATAAAATTAATCTACAATACAAGTTGTCGGGTCAATAATTAAATGATTGAACAAATAAATAATAATACATGAATGAGTGGGGGGTAATCATAAATCATCACTATATAAATAAAGAGGATCGTGTTTAAATTCGATAAATTAGTACCGTGATATCAATGTATAGAACACAGGTAATAAACCGAATGAACCAGTATCAATATATTTATAACAAGGGACTACGTGTCAAGTGTGATCTAACCGGCGGTGTTTGTCCAGAAGTTGTACCAGAGAAATAAAACGTGCCTAATCACAAATAGATACAAATGATCATTTCACGGTTCCTGCTCTAATACCCATGATTTAACGATAGTTATTTAACAAGAAAAATAATTGCACACAACTGTAACTTTATTACCAATAAAAACAATAATAGGTGTTTTATGAAAATATAGCGCAGAAGTTGACCATTGAACCGTGACATAGAAATACGGTGTTATTATTAGAGGCCGTTTTAATTGGGCAGTTGGTAACACGTAATCAAAATTACGGAAGTTTGCAATAGTAGAGACTTTTGGCAAGCGTAAATGTCTGGTCCGCATCACGTATCCGTATCGGTTTTGTCTGTGACGTCATCAATGTGCGTGAAGATCTCATACGTGATACGACACACGGATACGGCAGTACGTATCGAACAGCTTTCATACGAAAAAGGTCCCTTTAACATCGTTATTTTTTTACTGTCTTTTTTGCTACCTTTTAGACACTGAACTGTTGTACCATAGCGTGTTTATGAAAATATGTGTATCCTATAAAGACTGGAATGTAATTATTATTTTTGATAAGTTATTCTCGAAATTTTCATATTTTTATTGTCTGTCTGCATGCTAGTTGATCTACGTGCTAAATTTTCTGAATTGATACATTAGTGAAAACCCAAAAAATGCTGTCGAGTCGGAGTCGAAGATTTTTAATAAGATTCAACATTAAATGTTTTTTTAATTCCTCGGCGACCATCGAGCGACTTTACCCCCTCCAGGAATTTGTAGGCTGGGCACTTGGCTAGTACTGATGGGGATCTTGGTAGATAACTGCTATCATGCTGTAATAGAACTAAGCTCAGCTCAGCTACTCATACGTATGCGGCGGGAAAATCTGCCAAAACTATAAAACTACATTGACGCAACGTATCACGTGACGATACGGGTACGTGATACGGATGGGAAGAAAATCCGCTTGCTAAAAGTCTCTAATAACTCCCGACAACGTACGTCAATCTAAATGCCGATCGAGAAACAACTATAGTTTTTGTGAAACGGGAAGGTAATGTATCTGGTCAACAGATTACCCAAGTTTGTTTGGAAACAATTTGCCTCTGCAAAGATTTGAATCTTTAATTTTTATAGAAAGAGGGCACGGCCAAAGATAACCCATCTTTCTGCAAATTATATTTTTTTATACTTAAGATATCTATAACGTATACTTCTTTGGTCTAAAAACAGGAAACACCAACACTTGACTTAAAGACCAATGTTTCCAATATTCGCCGTGAACGAAGAAAAAACCCATCTGTTTTTAAGAAACTAGTACCTAATTATCCAAGAAAGGTCGAAAAATAGAGAGATGGGCCAAATAGGGTTCTGGTGGGGGAACTTAATATAGGATGGGAGTCATAGCAAGTAGACAGTGTCGTAATTGGGGATGAAAATGAAAACAAGTCCCGCGACAAGGTCTGTATTTCCCCCCTGGGTAGAAACGTTTTGAAAGATACATGGTCTCGAGCGTCATTTTGGGATATATCTGGGGTAACCGTAGGTCACTTTGCTTAAACACAGAAACTGAGATTTAACACAACATATGACAACAAATGCATGTACTATACGTTATAGGTTTTAATACGCCAATTTTCAAATAAAAGCGGACTAACAGAATCCGATTCTAATACTACCCACGCCAAAGGGAACCTACATTCAGAAAAGTCACCGGCTTTCTTCTACTTTACGATCAAGTATCAATGTATTTTATTTTTATTAATTTATACCAACAAATTTTATGAACGCCTTCTCAAAGACCCTGGAGGGGCATAGGGCATGGTGCCCCCACCCCTCTCCAACAAGAAAAATAAATAAAATATAAAATCCTGCTATTGTGACAGTTTAATTTTCTGGGAGGTGACCACCAAATATATCATCACCAGTCGACACGGTAAAATAATCATTGACATGTCAAAGATGAGTATAATATTAACTATTTATCACCGTAATATCATCTTAACTGGAAGACGAAAACAACGGAAATCTGACTAAAATAAGATAGAATCGATATCTACCAGGAAATATCACTGTAGATATCACCCGTGAACTACAGTATTTGGTGATATAAATTTGCTAAACTGCTGTGTTAAATTATGAACGGTATAATACTCTATTGTATGGTCAAATCCCTCTCAAGAACCCCGTGGTTTTAGTTTGATAGTGGCGATAATAAATATTATATGTACCGGAATAATCACTGAATATGAATTATTGATTGTAATTGCTAGTATAAGAGCCCAATTAGATATGCCATAGTTGGAATCCATGGCATATCTGTTAGGGATAGAATGTTGAAAGACAGTGTTGTAATTCTAAACCGTAATATTATATCCTTTTAAAGTAAATAATAGCTTGATGGTAGTGGGTATAACATATACAATTTAATGATGTTATGTTTAAATCATTTTGTTTCCCTCTAAGTATTACTTGTATAAATATAGTCACGTGGTGTGTACGACTCAAGTTTGTTCCGTTCTCAATACTATAAGATGGTGAACGGCTAGGTTTTTACCTTTCTCTATTATACGACGTTTTGTCAAATTAGGTTTCCACAAGAAACAGTAATACTATTTGAAATATCCAGATAAATTAGAATAACTTAAAACACATTTTACCATACGCCTAAAACATCACTTTCAGAATAATTTTTCTATGGTTGTGATTCTAATATAACATATGCTTGTGCATCTTTCTTTAAAATGTATTTGTGATTTTAACCAGATGCTTACTATTTTTTACATTTAGAGATGCATTATGTAAGAGCTAAATCTGCCCATAGCCATTCCGTATTTTGCCTTCAAATGTTATATGAACTTTTATTTAGACGTTCATCACATGACACGCCAATAATCAACTTTCTAGATTATCGGATGGCCGAGATTTAAATGGATTGAAACACGATGTAATAATTTAATTTACAAAAAATTGGCAAGTACCGTTGATACAACAATAAACACTCTATGCTACAACTTCAATTACTGATAACTTCGACCTCGGGATAAAGTAATTAATGTGAATGAGATTTTCAATATATTTATTTTTCTTTATCAATTTATGAACTGTTATAGCAAGAACGGGCAGTTCTTTATCTAAATCGTCCATGTAATGCATCTTTAAGATATTGCAATGTTATTATCGAGATAGATTCACTGTTTAACCTATTAACCCTTGTGGATTCACGTTGTGAGAATCACATAGCAGGTATCATGGGGTCCATATGGACCCCAGTTAATTCAAGTTTTTACGTACAGATATATTTGAATTAAAAGGCAGCGGTTTGGTTTTTATTTGCATTCATATTTGATATCTGAAAAACAACTAAATTATTATCCAAAAACATTTTAGTGGCATATGGAAAAGATTTAATAACTCACCAAATTGCTACTTTGTGTACTATGTGATAAAGAGTTTAAATGGCAATTCAAGCTTGATAGAAAAACTATTCAATATTTGGAATTCATCATTTAATTTTTGGTATTTGTAACATGCAGATGCTAAAAGAGGGAATACTCTGGCATACGCAATATGGTTTCAAACACATTAGCAAAATCACTACTGTGAGTTATAAGTTAGGGGTCCGATTGGACCCCTTGTTCCCTTCAAGCGCTGGGCCTGATTTGCATGTGACATAACTCTGCATGTGGGAAGCATAGGAATACCGATCTCTTTGCTACGTGTACCCAGTAATTGTTACAAAACACTATAAAACATGTGCATGGGGTCCACGGAGACCCCACGTAAACCGACAAGGGTTAACCTGGTATCAACGTTTGGATAATCTGAAACTACGGCAAACTACACCCTGCACCCTCTGTCTTTGCGCCGCCAGCAGTGTTATATTTTGAGGTGAAGCATCGGTGATTATTACGACCTCCATACAGCCACTATACAATAGTCTCACTGATTTATATACAAATGATTTATCAAATCCAGTGATAACATAATTTATGACAATCCCCTTCAAATAGATCTATAATAAGTTTAACCTTCAGCAATATTATATTAAGAAGAACTATGGACTGGTGAACATTATGTCTCTGTCTCTATATGTCTTTTAAGCGTGTGGTTTGTGTATAGATTGGAATTGACTTGTATTGGGTTTTTTTCCATTTGTTGAAACTATCTCGTCTTTTCCTGCAATCCAGTCAAGTATCAGAGATAATGTGTTATTTTGCCTGTCCGTCTTAAACTATAGTTAATAATAAATGCGACATTATTTTAATGCATTGTCGATATACCATTTGAAGGTAACAGTGTGTGTTAGTTAAGCTAATCGCCACGATAAAGTGAGTTTTTTTTGCGTTATGAAGTTGCGTTATGAAGAGAGATAAGCGTGATTCAAGGATTTACATGTAGCTAAAACAAGCCGATGTTGCTTCAGGGTATTTCGTTTCCTGGTGCGTGAAATATTTGTAAAATTATTGAATGACTACTTGTGATGTTGTTATTTACGTTTACGTCAGTTTATTTATGTGTAGTGCAAGAGTATCCACCCAAAGGCGATATCTTCTATCTCAGAAACCGGAGCCGATAACTGCATCCGTTCACATCGACGCAATTAAAGACCAATATGACCGTATAGCGTGGCCTCACCAAGTTTGGTGACCAATATGGCTGAAAGATGGGGATTGCCCGATATTAGTTAGCAACAGTATGTTGGATGTGAACTCAAGTGAAATTTCAGTTTCTTCTGAAATATCGACTTATAATATTGTTCTTGGAATAGTGGATTTGTTTCAAGCAATATTTATATGTGCCGGTAATTCGTTGACAATAATTGCCGTGTATAAAACACCATCACTCAGAAAGATTCCTAACATGCACGTCGTATGTTTGGCGATTGCTGATTTTTTGTCAGGAGTCGTGTTGTTTTATGAATTTCTATTGCGATTAACAGCTCTAAGATTGGAAAAGAATATATATTTGTGTTTATCTGTGTATGTGGGCTTATATATAACGGTATATGAGTCAGTTCTAAGTATGTCACTACTTACATTTGATCGTTTCCTCTATATATGTCACCCGTTTAAATACGAACGTTTTGTGACTGCTAGGTCGACAAAAGTATCCATCATTTTATCTTGGATATTAGCTATAGTGTACGGGTTTAGTCCAATGATGTTTTATTCAAGTGACAACACGGAGTGCACATACGGCGTTATACCAAAGGAATTTCACTACTATGGAAAAGGCATTGCGTTTTTTGTACCGCTAGGATTGTGTCTAGGATTACATAGTTATATTTTAAAGGTGGCTGTTACGCAACAGCGGAAATTACGGAAGACACTTAATCTTCCATTAACGCTAAATATAAAAAGAAAGCCGGCAGTGACGCCATTTACTAATTATCTTAAGATAATGCGAATGTTTTTGTTGGTTTATTGCCTGTTTTTTGTATGTTGGTGCCCTTGGGTAATAAGCTCGATTCTGCGAGAGACCCATGATATTAGTGATCAAGTAATGGATTTGTTGGCCCTGCTGGGTATGTGTAATTCAGGTTTCAATTTTGTGATATATGTGCTACTTAACAAAGATTTTAGAAAGACTTTTAAGAAGATGTTTTCATTTAAGACAAATATTTCTAGTATATTCTCTGGGGCGCCACCACCTATCACAACAAGCGAACGCCTTTAAATTTGGTCGCTGCAGTTTTTTTACAGATATATTATTTTATATCTAATTTACATTAGTTTCACTCATGCACGACCCGAAGTGAAATGTACGGTTGACGCGAAGTGTAAACATGAATCAATTAATGTAGAATAACTGCAACGGCGGAGTTCCCCCATTAATTAACTTAATGAACACAGGTTTCACTGTGCTATTTATATTCAATTGTTTACCAAAGTTAAATATACTTTTATTCTTACGTTGAAACAAATTGTTGTAGTTTAATCAATTCTTAATACGCCTCCTGGAATGGTGGCGTTTCGTTATTACACCACAATTGTCAAGATTGTAGTTTAACCCCACTAAACAATGCATCTCTCTCTCTCTCTCTCTCTCTCTCTCTCTCAATTTGTACATTGCCTACCCATGTTGAAAACTTAGCGTAACAGTAGATGACCGGTAATACATAATATATATATTATCACCATGTAATCAGTTTTGGTACGCGGCCAATCGACTACTGAGATTGAGTAGGATCAGGTGTTTCTACAGAATAGGCACATACACTTCAATAGTTCCATGTTTACCAAGAGTAGATAACGTTTCTGTTGGCCGTGGGACAGGACAGGATTCACAAATTGTTTGGGTGAGATGAAATTACCAACTAGCAAATTACAAACAGTGTGTCACAACCATTTCCCTGATTATTTTTTATTGAGTTCAAATGTTTCTAAATATAAGTAAACACTCTTTTGTCTTTTCATATTAAAAACCAATAATTTAAAGATACATTATGGGAGATAAGATAAAGAGATGGCAGTTCTCGCTATAATAGTTAAAAACTGGATAGTGTAAAGGTAATTTGCTGAAAATTTCAGTCAAATTGATCCACTATGAGCCGAGAAAGAAGCGAGTGAAATTTTTGCATAGTCTCGGTCATCAGTACTAAAATCATTAATATAAACAGCATAGTCTCGATTATCCACTTTTTTTGATTTAATTATCAATGGCCGTTAGCGGCATATAGGAATCTAATCCAGCCAACATCGAAGGCTAGCCTTGACATCGAGAGTTTATTATGGTCTGGATAAGTTAATTAATGTCTAATTGATAATTTAGATAACATTTCAGGCTTAAAGAATGACTTGTAATAAGCAGATTTTGCTCTTGCATAATGCATGTTTAATGAACATGAACAATTATTGACTTATTAGATGCGAATGTTGTAAAGTGGTCTTGATAATAATTTACAAAAAATAGCTTTATTTCACGGCAATCATACATATGATTCAAATATAATAAATGTTTTATATTTTAAAAAATCTAATGATAATCAAAGTTGATATGTTTATGGGGATATGTTGATCAGTTCTAAGGCGCCATTTACATGAATTTTTAAATGTATTTGGTATAAAATACTCATTTATAAACTTGTTATTGTGATCTGGTAGTCCAAAATGGCTGCTGTATTGATTTAATAATAGGTCTTGGTTTAATAACTAGAGAGAAATAAATCTATTATTATCTAGTTCATATTTCGATTAAATATAGCAGCGAAATAAATGGAATATGGTATGATATAGTTCAAATTTTGAAATTAATAAAGGAACGAGTGTTTTAAATCAAAAGTATTTCAGATTCACATATAAAATCAATCCAAACGTATTGACTTAAAGGGGGAGACCAACGATTTTCAACAAGGTTTCCATAAATATTAAATATATATTTACAAATAATCCCCCTGTAACACAAGCAAATAAGTTTTTGTAAGCGAGAAATTAATTTTTATTAAAACCGGAAATGACACAATTGGTTCACCGCGCTCGCTGGTCTCTTGTGGAAGTATAGAGATTTGGCGTATCAATTTGTATCAAACGGACTGTTTATATATATTTTAAACACGATATTATGGTTTACTAACGTTGCATAAATTCATTCATGCTGAAGAATACACTGTATCCAATTCGCGCCACATGGCTAATTGCTTAGATCACGTAGTTTGTTTGATTGCTTGCAAGTGACAGCTATTTCATCTGCTTGAAAGTGTTTGGGGTTGCTGACAGTGTATTTCAATATAAACAGACGAAAATTATGGGCTTGTGGACAAAAAACGACTTTTTCTTTCTTTTTCTTCTTCCATTCCTCTTGAGAATGGCTAGGCTCGAATCTGTATACATTACTGTTGACCCATAAGATGATATCTTATATTTGAAAATTTGTATATTTATTTGAATATATACGTGAAGTATATGTAAACACTGCCAGCAAGCACAAAATCATTCAAGCAGACGAAATATTTGTCACTTGCCGGGTTCAAACAAACCACGTGATGTAAACATTTAGCCGTCTGGCGTGGATTAGACCATAATGTACAGTTCAGTATGAGTGTCTTTGCGCTACGGATTTGTGTATTAAACGTTAAAAACACATAAGTTCATCTTCTTTGATTGACATTTAGTAATTGAACATATTAACACAAGGTACAATTTTATGGAGACACAAAAATTGTACTTTGTGTTAACACAATTTCATGTTTATAATATCCTAATTATTATCCCTTTAATCAGTTTTTTGACCAAACAAAAATGTCTGAACAAATAGAGCGGTAAATAGATGCCAAATCTCTATACTTCCTATAGAAACCAGCGAACGTGTTGAAGCGATTGCATCACTTCTGGTTGTAATTAAAATTAATTTCCCGCCTACAGAAACCTATTTGCTTGTGTTGCATAGGGGATTATTTCTGAATATATGTTTAACATTTATGGAAACCTTGTTGAAAATTGTTGGTCTTCCCCTTTAATGGTTGAATTTTTAACGTGAAACTCCTTGATACGAAAGTACGACAATAAGTGTTATCTATTGTAACTACCCTCAACAATGCGAAATGATATGTGGTATTAAGTGATTAACAAATAGTATAATGAATACCTCGACCCGTACATGTTATCTGTTGCTACTTCTAACTTATTGATCTAGCTGATCATCGGATACAGGAGTCTAAAACATAACATTGGAGAAATTGTTAAGGATCCCAATTGATCAGATACAGATATAAAAAATAAAACCAAGAATTGGTAGTTATATAAAGCAATCCTAAAATATTCTTTGTGTAAGCTACTTTTTTCGCCGAATAAAATCCTGGTAATGGTCTCAGAGGGTTAACCTTAACTTTTAAACTCACTCTAATGTGAACAACAACTGGAACATAATTGATTCGTGTAACTTTTTTTAACTGTAGATGATGGTCGAGCGAGTAGGATACAGATTTCTTGATTATAATGTTTCGGATATCCAAGTCAGGTTGTCACTTATAATCTTTTTAGAGAATAGTGAATCTGGATTGGTTGATACATGTAAAATATGTGTTAACATTTGGAATTCGAAGAAAAGTATGTCAATCCCCCTATAGCATTATACATGTTACCACAGATAACTGACTTCAAACCAACCCCCAAACATCACATTATTTTTAGTCTAATTACCGCGAGGGTCTCATTTGGTGCCATCAGTTCCACGAAGCTTCATGTTATTGCGGTATTCCATAAATGAGATGTCTTTCCTATTGTGGTTACTTATACTGCAATATACCTAGTAACTAATATTCCATGACGGCAGCCTTTGCGCCAATTGGTTGAAACAATGAGACCAAAATTTTTCCCGACGGTTGTTATGTGAAACTGAAAATTAACACTTCCCCGTTTGGTGCACGAGGTGGAAACCCCAGAATGTTCAATTGGAACGTGTCTGGTGCCTGGACTAGCTATAGGTATAATACAATATTTATTGGTATCTTACTAATAGTAATAAAGAATATCATGCGAAGTGGTAACCAAGAAATGGCGATTAGATCTTTGGACCGTCACCTGTAGATCAACTGTTCTGCTTCCCTTCGATGCGGATATTCGTTTTAAACAACCAGTCGTGTTCACCCTATACATCCATATGATCAGGGTTCATGCATCAGATATGTAACCGAACCTTTAATTTTTGGGGGCTGGGTCTGACAATTTTAATCAATGTCATGGCATATGGAACCAAATTCTCGTTAACGAGAGGATAAGAAATGGGACAGAATCTTAAGCCATATCTGTCAATTTAGCCTGTTTTGTGAGAGTAGAAATAACAATTCTACTGCAGTCTATCAACCCACGACCTACTCACTAGTGGTACTACTAACATGGTGATTTACTGTAACTGTTAATATGATAGTGATGAGATAGTATAAGACAGAGGAGTTTAAGAATGATGACATGGAATGGAGCGCCGATATGTAACTGGGCTTTTAATTTTTGAGGACTGGGCCTGAGGGCACTTTATATCAATGGGGCGCTAACTTGGTCTCTGAAATGCCCTGGACTTAGGGGAGAGATTTTGCAGAATTCTGATGGTCCGAAAACACTTACAACATGAGTAAAATATGTTAAAATTTCTCCTGGGATTGAATATGCAACAAGTAAAATTTCTTAAGTGCAATAGATCGCCTTAAAATTTCATAATTTAAAGATTTTTTTACGTATTTCTGAAACAATCTATACTTCCGATAAAATCTAACCAACTGATCGACTAATATTAATCGTATGACAATCAAGAATATATTTTGAAATATCAAAATCTTCGTAACAAGATCTCTCAATTTCTTAGACCAACATACCCATAACAGGGATTTTTTTCAAACATGACAAGCTGACTAGGTTATTTTCAACTATACCGTTGCATTTTAGGTGCACGGATTCACACAAAATTATTCCTTTCTATTTTGGCATTGTTTGTTTACCTCATTGAATTGATTCATTTAGTCAGGGGGTGGGGGGAGGGTGGATGGCCGAATGGTTAGCACGTGCGCACTGTATCATAAGGCCTGTCATTGAGTCAACTGGCGTGGTTTTGAATCCCCGGTTGTACGTGACAAGAGTAGGGTGTCGCCTGTCTAACCTCGTGGGTTTTCTCCGGGTCCTCCGGTTTCCTCCCACTGCTAAAGACCCCTACGCGCAAGCGAATTATGGAAATAAAATTGAACCATATGTTAGTCCCGAAATGACATAGTTTGTGTCGAGTGGACGTTAAACCCCATTTCTCCTTCACTCTCTCTCATGTATCAAGTGAAATTTCGTAAAAGCGTGTTGACATCCTCCAGGATTCGAATATCAAAGACATTCTTGTGTTGGGAAAATCATTCGAAAATATATAATTGTTGAATATAAACATGGCTCCTCAAATAAATCAACATGACAAGCTGGCAAGAATAATAAGAAATACCATGGTATTTGATCAATAATTCTATTTCCAAATGTAATACATATAATACCCAAAGGGGGCACTTAAACCCAAATTATATTTCATGTATCTGTTTACGTCTGAATATGTCTATTAAATTATCAATCTGAAACATCAATCTCCACTCATCGTCTACATTTAGAAAAATATTTAAAGCAAACTGATGTTGTCTTTGTTATTTCACATGAATAGCTTTATTAAAATTCATCTAGTGCGAATGCTTATCCATCTAAAATGACTTGTTGAACATTTTTTTCATTATTCATGATGTCAGACAATAAGAAAACCATTCAAAAACATATATATATATATTTTACGCATATATAATGCATTTATTGTCAAATTTAAAAGAGAAGCTCATTTATCATGTCACGAATATAATAGGAGTTTGAAACAAATCGTTTAAATAAACGTTGGTAAATGAGCTCTGTATTGGGTTGATTATACAAATATTCAAACCTTTCTAAAAGAGAATAAATACTACTAATAGACAAAAACACTTGACCATTGCTTGATAACGATACCTGTAAGAGTATTAAAGTTGTGGTTTTTTTTATTAATGTTTATTAATACCCTTACTTCTAAATGTCATTTGAGGATATTAAACAGAATGAATACATTAAATACGTTTTATATTATATTTCATTTTGTTATCTCTGTCTTATATAGAATATTGATTGGTGTTTCAAAATGCAGTATCAGTGTCGGGATTTGCTTGGACCCTTAGTTACACCACAAAATTCTTGCAAGTAATATTGTGAAATATGGTACTCTGTAGGCCTAATAATATTTAGTGAGACAGACAATTGTCTCGTCAACACAATCTTTTGAGACTAGCCGTTAGTTATTTTTTTATAAAGTCACGTGTGTAATCCTAGGGGGAAGAATTTTATCATGAAATATAAACCATACTTTCCTCGTAAATTGAAAAATAAAACGTCAGTATATAAGTGTTGAATGACAGATGTGTCTTAAATTGTGTATACAATCTAATTTTAACACACATACACACACCCCATCAATGGAACTGGAAAGTCAAATCGAAAGTAATACTCTCTATAATTTTGTTACATTTTTAAAGCAGGTCTGTTTAATATTGCAAAAAACCCGACATGTCAAATACGAAACAGTTTTGTGACAAATATAGCACTAATTGCATTCTAGGACTATTGAATTCAAATTTCCCAAAAATTCACCTCATTTTTAAATGAGGACCGTTCTTTGCTCCCAGTGCTTAGAAATGTTGTATTTCACATTTTTGGAGGCCATTCTCTGACCATATTCAAGCACTATAAGAACAAGGGTTTCTTCTACGTTGATAATTAATAGCTAAATGACAATTCAGAATCAAATATAAAACCATAAGAGAATTGTGCGTGTCATTTGACAATAAGTTTAGCAATATTTTGAAAACTAATAACGGATATGGTTTCGTTACACGATCTGTCAAACACGGCATCATTGTCTAAACGGGTACTTTTCTTTAAAACCATTTAATTTCTTCTGAATTAACTGCTGTCGTTTATTGTTCAGTTTCAGTTTCTCATTTCGTATGCTTTGACTACGAACATCAAAAGATACCGGCGAAGAGTCATTGTGGGATAAATGAGATCGCCAGGTCGAGGCACTGAGGGTAGGACGTCTCTGATTCAATATTTCATCCAAATTGGCATTTCTACCGAGTGAAGATGAGCGTTTTCTACTTGTCATTGAAGGTGCCGAGCCGTGTCTTCCGAGAACCTTCGATTTTTCCATCGATTCGTGCAAGGACACAGCTTTGGCTTTAGACGTATCTCTCTGGCCACGTAAATGTCCAATCTGTTGTTCGTGAAGAGCTACTCTAACAACTGGCTGTCCTTCTTGGGCTCGGAGAATCCTCTTGGTGACTTCCGTTGTATCATCCTCCCAAGCATGGCGAGTGTGCTCCGATTCCGTTTCAGATTCCCCCTCAGAACTTGTTTCAGCGTTATCTCTACTTGAAAAATTCCAAGAAATTGTTGGTTTTCGTTTTGCTGGGCTACTCTGAGGACGAACCTGTGTTGATGAACCGGAAGAACTTTCACTGTCTCTACGATCGCCTGATCGGTCAAAAGCTGATTGTGGTCTTTGAAATCGACGAACTTTCCTGCTCAGAACCCTTTCACCGTAGAGGAAGCATGGTCCTTGGTCGTCTTTCTTTTCCACAGGTATAATTTCAGGAGCACGTCCTTCCGAACTCCTGCCACTGCTCGACTGAATATATTCCAAAGTTAACGATATAAGTCTAATGTCTTGATTTGTCATACGAATTTTATGGAGCTTTTCCTTTTCTAGTAAATGAAGTCGTCCCTGGAGTCGAGCATTTTCTATGTTGTTAATACGATAAGCTCTCTGGACGCGGGTTGAGTTATAACTCGGGGCATCGGTGGATGTCGTCGACATGATTTTTGGTTCAGATCAATTAGACAAACTAAGGAATGAAGGCATGGTTTGGATATAAATATTCATCCCTGCACCTAGAAAATAAAAATAGAACTGTTTAATCAGAAATCGGCTTTGGGGGAACACTCCAAATCAATTATAATCGGAACCTTTGGCGTTCGAGGTTTGGAATATCTTTTGCAAACTATTATATTTGATAGACGGCGGAATTCATTTGCTTACACACTCCTAGTATCAATAACCCCGCTTAAAACATGTCTATCGTATGCAGTCATAATCGATATTCATTGAATGTTTTAAAATGATATTGTGTATATAAATACCGAGAATTCTTCATTTGTCAAGAGCTAATTAAATATCAATAACTTTTCTTTATGGTAAATACTATATCCGTTTTTAAAGTTTTTATGCTTTTTGAACCGGCCTGAACTCTTATTATAATGTGTTCCTTTCTTTTGTTAAAGTACCTCGAATTGAGATTGAATTGAACTCGGTACAGTGATGTTTTATTAACAAGATCATGCACGATATTTAATATAGTTATTGATAATTTTTTTTATATAATCTGGACAATAAATCGACTGTGTACCTTTTCTCGGGAGACGTATTTAGACGTATAATCAATTACCTTATTTTTTATTACAGAAATTCAATAAACATTTCAAATACACTATTAATGGCTTTGGGTTGTGAAATTATATCATCTTGTTTTCGGATTGTCTTTTAAATGAAACCAACGGACTTTTCAGCCTCTCGTGTTTTAGTTCGTAAAAATGTAAGTGATTAGTCTGCTATGCCCCCCCCTGGAGTCTAATCTGAATCCTTTATATTTGATTAGTCGACACGATAAAACAATGTATATCTTTGAACATTGAAAGGGTTATTGCACCATGTTAACGCCAAACTCGGTCGTATATAAACCATCGAAACATATCCGACTTAGATTTCAATCTGAAAGACAAGAGTAGAAATATTATCCGGTTACAGTTGAAATAGTTGGAATAATACCCGGATACACTTTAAATAGTTAGAATAATATCCGGATACATTTGAAAAGATCGAAATAGTACCCAGTTACGCTTATAATGGTAGAAATCGGATTCGGTTCACTTGGAATAGTGACAATTATTCGGTTGCAGTTGAAATTGCAATCACAAAAAGAGTGATTCCCCTTCCGGGGAAAGGAGTAAAAGATATTTGTTTTGATTTTGTGTTGTAATAAAAGGATTTACGGTCTAAAATAATTGCATTCAGATTCAAAATTGGAAGAGGCATCATTACTCTACACAAGCAAATAAATATAAGTAGATCTATGTTTTATTCTATTCCAAATAACCTTTCACGTATTTAATTACTGAAGACTGGCACAGGTAGATTAATTAATTGTTTACGAGATTTTGTTACTAAAAAATTTATATATGACTACTAAATGGAAATAGTTTGCAAGTGTTTTGTCGATAATTTCAACATACCCGATGTATTTGCATAGTATAACCACGTCAAATCGAGAAACAAAAATCACTAAGGCCGGGCTTATGCCGTATTTAAAACGTTATTGCCATCAAAGTTAGAAAAGATAACGATGCCAATATATGTATTTTAGATACATTGACCGAACCTTTGCCTATTTAATTTCATTTTTATTCCAGGGTATTACATACACTAAGATGCATTTTAACTAGTACACGTTCACCCCGAATTGGTTATCACCATTTTATCAATGTTTATATTTTCTATAAGTTTCTGTTTAGAAATTAGTTGGGAAATGTATACAAAATGTAATGGTAAAAAAAATGAAGTGAAATTAGCGATGTTTAACATATCGTCAGCAGCACGAGAATTTGTCCCAATTGTAACAGATCGTAATCCAGTAGGCTATCATTATCAACTGTTCTTTCCCAAATCACTGCAGATTAACATACAAATAGCAATCACTTTACAGGTGGGGTAATCTATAAGAAAAAGATTAACATGGTAACGTTTTCAGGATAGATTTGGGAAAGCACGGTGTCCACAATCTGGACAATCCACAATCCAGTAACATTATTTTATCATCCATTCTTTCCCAAACATTTACCTCGAGCAAAGAGGATACAAATATAAAACACATCCAGGTTTTGGTAGAGAAGAACCGCCACCTTTCCTGCACATTCCTGTCACTCCTCTTTCAGAAGTCACGCGAATCTTCTTCACGGGTTGACAAAACATCTGTATGCACTCAATGGAATGGGACTCATCGGTAGTGCAATTCTAAATTCAGATATTGAGAGAATATACACATGGGCTAAAACATGGCTGGCTTCCTTTAACCCTGAAACATTAACAATATCTACCCCATCTAGCCACTATTCGATTCCTCCTTGCATAAACACAGTTAAAAATAAATGAGGTATCCCATCATAAACATTTGGGGCTTATACATTGGGAATACTTAGCTTACCAGTTAGAACAATTATAATTAGATGATTTTCGCACAGCATGTGGAGCGGTGAAGGAAGCTAGCCATGATTTACTGTACAAAGAAGTTAGCATTTTACCTCTAAAACAACACCGTAAAAGACACAAGTATTTCTATATAAAATAATAAATCACTTAACCCCTGACTACTTTTATGATAATTCCAACAAAAAACTAACATTAGGAAATGATAAAAACCTTCCATACTATTTTTGCAAAACTAAATTATTTCTTCAACCACAAGACTTTTATACAATCTAGATCTTTCTATACGTAATTCAGATACTTTATTCAAAACATGATTACTTGGTACCTTCTCATTACAATATTGGCAAAAGAAAAGTTCAAATTATCCATTCAAGACTTCGTTTATCAAATAGTGATTTAAATGCATTTTTAAGAAACATAACTGAGTCTCCAACCTGCCGATGTGGACACAATTTTGAAGATCCTTATCACTTTCTCCTAGCTCGTATGTCGCTTATATTCAGATGCACGAAATATACCTACAAAAACATTACCTACAAAATACATCCACATAAAATTTCTATTGTATGGCAAAATTGTTTAGAATTAAGTAATAGATTTTAAGTACTGTAATCGTCTATTATCATTACCATCACTGGCTTCTGTTGTTTACGCTGCAACATGTTAGTACATTTTCAGGCCTTAAAGCCAACAGCAAACATTATGTGTATAGAATATTTGTAAATATACTATTCAAAAAAAGTAGGGGATATTTGATTTTGGGGGCATAATACTAAAATATGCAAATGACTACGAAAAAAAGTCACTATAGAACCTAACAGAAGAAACATTTCCAGTTACATGTGACGCCCAAACGCACCAATAGCTACCGCATGGAATGCAGGTGATGCTTGGGATCATCATGGTGATCCAACCCAAGATTTGCACGACTTTGACTTTGAATGTTACAGTCATTGTGGCATTGAATTCCAGGGTGGAAACATCAGTTTAATTGTTTTAGTGACCAGAAAACAAATTTTGATATGCGTCGGCTTACCCAAGATGAAAGGTTACGTGCCCTTGGCATGCTACAGATCGGCACAACACAGGCGGTTGTGGCGCGGACGATGAATGTTTCTCAGTCTGTCATAAGCAGGCTATGGTCCAGATACCGTGATACACAATCTGTACAGGACAGACCACGCTCAGGTCGACCAAGGGCGACAACTCAAACCCAGGATCGATTTATCCGTACCTTGGCCTTGAGAAATCGTGTCATCACAGCAAATCAGATCAGCGCTCGTCTTCAAACAGACACTGGTGTGAGAGTGAGTGGCCAGACGATTCGGAATCGACTGCATAGGGGTCACCTTCGCGCCCGACGTCCTCGCGTGATCCCTTGTTTGAGAGATCATCACATTCAGGCAAGACGTCGTTGGTGTAGGGATCGTCAACACTGGGATAATCGACGGTGGAGCAATGTGATGTTTTCAGATGAGTCAAGGTTCACTGTTGATTTTTTGGACAGACGTAGGAGGGTGTGGCGTCGTCGAAACGAGCGCTTCCAAGACGTTAACGTCATCAGAAATGATCGATTTGAGGGTGGTTCTGTTATGGTGTGGGGAGGCATCACTGTTGCTGGAAGAACGGCTTTACATGTTGTTGCAGGGCGTGTTACAGGCCAGTACTACCGGGACAACATCTTGGCAGTCCATGTTGTGCCGTTCGCACGACGTCATGGCCGCCGTTTCATCTTCCAGGATGACAACGCAAGATGTCACAGGGCCAGGATCGTTACAGGTTACCTCCAACAACAGAACATCACCACATTACCTTGGCCAGCACTGAGTCCCGACCTCTCCCCCATCGAGCATGTCTGGGACATGCTTGGACAGAGGTTACGTCAACGTCAACAACGTCCTGCCAATGTCCAAGAACTTGCTGCTGCGTTGCAACAGGAATGGGACAATCTGGACCAAAATTACCTTAGACGTCTCATTAGGAGTATGCCACGTCGGATCAATGCTTGTTTGGCAAACAGAGGAGGATTTACCCGTTACTGACTTGGTTGTGATGCTGTGGTAACTTTGCTGTTTGACCCCGGGTATCATTTTACCCTTATAATGGTCAGTCTGTGCCTTACTTAGTCTAACGATCATTTGGAATAAATCGATGAATGTGAACTTCATTTCATTTTGTCATTTGTTTCTTCGTCAGTTTCATTAGGTGACTTTAATAACACTTAAAAATCAAATATCCCCTACTTTTTTTGAATAGTATATATCATTCTTTCCTTCCATAATTTTATTAATTAATAACGCAATATGAATAGTTTAGAATATATACATGTATTTAAGTAAACTAATTGTAATTATATTGTTTTGTTGAAGGGGGGGGGGGTGATATAGGCCTAGCCTTTTCCCCAATCCTATTCTTATTGAATAAAATATAGTTTTTAAAAAATTATCAGAAAACACAAAAGACTAACGTTCAACGCCATGGATATAACATTCGGTGTATACAAAAACCTCAATAACAGTGTGGTAGATCGTATATCAATATTATGTATTCAAATTATTAAATCAAAACGAAAAGGGTGAATTACGAGATAAAACAACCTAAGTTGGCAATATAGTTCGATGAACTTTTAAGAATTTGGAGAACGCATTGATGAGAAATAAGGTAAACAAATAATTTGCTCAAGGGGATAAAACGGGTTATCTATCGAGGACATTAATTAAAACAAACAAAATTAATATACTGTTATATAACAGAAAAATCCAGATGAACCCTAAATAAACCCCATCAGCTAGAAAACAAAATCAATATGAACGATTGGTAGCTAAATTTAATCACAAAGATTGGGAGAATTGATTTTTATTATTAATATAATTTCATCTGCATTTTATGGCATTAATGTATTCAGTTTAAACAAATTAACCCAATGAGGTAATTATGACACACGGTGGTCTTTGTACACGATTCATAATCTCAACAGCATAATTTCATAACAGAAAATGTTGTACATTCGATTATTCAATTACACTGGAAGTTGATTCACAAAACATCTCTGTGGTACTTACACTATACAATCTGATATTAGAAAGCAAATAGTGAGAATGTTATTATTAACACATCATTCTATACTAAATTCAACCTGACGTAGAATTATTGAAATTCAATAGAAAATCGGGAGTTATTTTACGTTCTGTCAAATATAGTTAAGCTATCTAATAGACGGAACTTTCCAGGACACAATGGGAATACTTTGTACCTGTTTAAAGAGAATGAACATTGAAACACAGAACATGTGTACGTAAACCCCTTTCACAAGACTGGATGCATTCATAAATACAATAAACTATGCTTATGTATTGAAATTAATTAACACGGATGTGGTGTAGCCGCCATATTTACATAATAAACATGTTACGTATTTTATGGATAAGGGGTGGTTGAGATAAGTCCATCAGACTTTCCCCATGTCACTGATGCAATGGGAAGGGTATGGCAAGAAACAGAGTCTAGTCGTTCTGATGGATAAGAAACGGAGGTCCCGTGTACACGTTGTTAGCCTGCACGTAAATAACCCTTGGCAGTTGGAATTCGATGAACAATACAAAACGGTTGTTTTCTCTTGCAGAATTTCATTTGACAATGGGTGTGGTTTCAAAATTTAATTACACATTTTAATGTCACGAACAGGAGTTTTAGAAAATGATTATTTGAAAATTTGACAATGACAAACGGTTTTGACTGTTGTATTGTTAGCTACTTTACAATATACACATTGTACGCCGCCCGAAAATTTCTCCGATCTTTTTCTTATTTTTTGGCTTTAGGAATATAGAATTACTAACCGCTTGATTGGAACTAGCCCCAGTTTATGTCGTCTTGCCGTTATTGCAGGGATTGCATTAGATCAATCTAAATCTATATATATATATATTGTTTAGCGATAAACTGCAGATAAAAGAGTGTTGCCATATGGTCAAATGAATTTATTACTGTTTTATTTTACTACCAAATTAGTCGTTGATGAAAATTTTAAAGGGAGGGAAAATATTCGTGGAAACTACTGCAAGAATAACTGCTAATAATTAGCTCTGAATTTCGATAGAGTTCGTCCTACAACCAAAATTTGATGTGAATAAAATGTTTGAAACATTCTTTAAGTATAGAGTGATTACAAGGGACAGTGTCTTCGAGACTAATTGATCTTAAGCTCTGAATTTGGAAAGAGATCGTCCATATTGCTAGACTATCAATCTTTAGTAATTAAGTTAAAGAAAAATCCCAGACGTCGAGAGTTTCGGTGACATGTCCAATAACCCTGTGAATAATTGATGCACTAATTAGAATTTCAACAATCCTTAAGGGATCCAAGCAAGTTTTAAAATCCGACCATCATAGACATATTGACCGGAAAGGCTGCATTGGTATTTTAAAAGAATAGTTTTCTACTTGTAACGTAATATCACTTACAGGGAAACTATAGACTCTAAATAAACTACTTTTGTTTATTACTTAGAGACACTTAGAAATTGTATATAGTGGGTAAATTATAGAGTGGAGCTCAATAACTTATGTCGACTTTTACTGTAGTCATTTGTCCTGACAACCCCCAGGAGAAAAGTATTTATAGTTCCAAACACTTTCCTTGTTTGACAACGGCTGCTTAAGTGTTTGCATCTCAGCAAGTCAAAAGCAATTAAAAAACTTTAAGAGCGGATTTATAGCTGTTTATTAGCTAACAACTACAGTGTTCGAGTTATTGAAATCTTTTTATTGGTATTGATCGATCAACCGCCTAACAATGGCTTCTTATAGAGTTTGATAGTGATGTGTGTTTTGTAGTAGATTGTGCATGCTTACTAAATCACACATCTCAATTGTACATTTCATATGTGCCCCGAGGGTTGTTAAAGACACATAGGCCTAATACTATTATTTGTAAAGATTATTCAGATTGTGCCTCTTGAAAATAACACTTTTCTGATGTTTTTGTCTTGTTCAGAAGTTGATTTAGTCGAAATTCTGGAATTAGTACTAGGTGGGAATTTTGCGTTAGTTATATCCTTACTCAGCATTACAAAAAAAGTCGCCAATTATCTGACAAGGGTTTTGCAATATGTATTTGTCTCTCTATTGTGGCAGAGTATGTTGGTAGGATGATATCAAAATGTTTTATGTTATGGTGTTAGTATGTTTCATTTTATACATTATACTCATATATCTGGAGGAGTCACTGGAAATTGGATTTCCAATTTGAACGGAAAGAAAATAAATAAGAGATTCGAATTAGTTTCTATTAAACACTACCCAAACAAGCTTGTCAAATGATTCTCGCACGTCCTGAAAATTCAGAACAAAAACAATAGGGGATTGGTCAGTCATTTGGGATCGCCATTATAATTGTGTTATAGAACGCTTGTAGATCAGTATATCGTCTCAGATTGATTTTATATAGAATGAACTCATCGTGGTCTATTATTACTGTGCTGGCTGGTTTAGTGATGCATTGATTCAATATACATAGCCGGAGATATCCCAATTTATTTACTTTTAGTGACCCTGTCGCAGTAAGTCTGTCCAGATTGATGTGTTCTCTAACCTATATCGATGTGCGCTCAAAATGGTGTTGCCATCTATAGCAAAAGAACAAATCACGGTGACATAGGGTACATATTTTAAGAAGACGATAAAATTGAATATACAGGGTGACCCCCGAAAATAAAAAAAAACAGAACCCATAAATTTTTTATTAAATCCTACAAAGGTCCAGCAAATTTGATGACTTAAACATCAGCCTATGTATAATAATATGAAATTTGCTGGACTTAAACATCAATCTGTGTATAATAATATGACCATTCCCAAAGTTTTAGTTATCTTTATGGGTATTAGGCGTCTCAAAATGTTCTCATACTGGATTGTTAACATAACCAAGGAACTGTATTCCGCACAGTTAACGAACTTTTTCAAAAGGTTATTTTTCAAGCAAGTGATAGTTGTCTCATTCAATAATGATTTGTCTTCTGGTCGTATAGGACGTTTTGGATGGTACAATGCTATTTACTATGTTTTGAAGATAATTTGGATAGTGATGTCTTATAAATTGTTTCCATGGCATTTAGTAACTTGAAAAACGTCGCTCATTATTAAGCAGTAATTGTATTCAATAGAATTGTTACCTGTGTATAGCTTTGCAACTTGTTCATTAGTAAAACCAGTTGGTAACAAATTACAGTATTCACTTCTGAATAGTGCAATGGATTGATCTATCTTTAGACAACAATCTACACTAATAAAACCCCAAAACATAGGTAAGTTTTCATTTTGGCATCGTGGTTCGTGGACAGAAATGAATTATCGTTCAGGCATTAACAAACGAGCTAAGAGCAAAATATGGCCACGTGAAATTAATAGAAAGTAGCAGGAACTTTAGATGGTGATACCTTTCGTTAGGATTTTGGATCAATTTAAGATCAAATTTTATTGACCATAGTCTTTAAATGTATATTTCAACACTTCTTTACTATCATGTAAACTAAATGGTCTTTAAGTAGATGGGTGGGGTTTTACAATCCACGTTGTAAGGTGCATTCATATTGATGAATTCGAGAAATATATTTTTCTAGGGTAGTGATAGTGATATTAGTTTTCAACACAAACCCAAGCAACGAACATGTTTGAATAAATACCCCACATAGTAAAAATTGAGAAACTGTTAAAGGAAATGTTGACATAATACCATGGCTTGGACATTTTCAATATGAAATATTTCATCGACATCATAAACACCCATTAATATTGATAGAAATTGCGCTTCAGTTCCATTTTAGGTGCCTTTAATTCTTCTATTGACTAGAGAACCCTTTGATTTGGATCAAAAATAACATTGTAACATCAGATCAGCCCAATTTTACTTTGATCTGAATCAAAGGTGTTCAGCTGTTTTAAAGATCAGGAATATGCCTGGAAGTGCATACACAATACATTTTAAATATTTAAGAGGTTATATTATATTTAAAATAAAAGTACAGAAGTGAATCTTATATCAAAATAGCATTGCATAAGTGATGACACTGCCTTATTTATTGATATAGCAACGCGCGAATGGGCTCCATTTGTATTTATCATAATCATTATATAATTAAGGTCTATAAATTACGATTTATCAAATATTATATGATTATAATTTACGTATAAACCAAAAATAACTCAACATTCTTATATTACTAAGATAGAAACTTACCCAATATTTATGACAGGAGTGTCCTTATATCTGTCTGTGCGGTTAATGTATTCGAATCATATTCTGCAATTCATACAATTATTGTTGTCAAGTTATACATAATGAATGGGCGGTATTAGCCTATATTATAGTCTCTCAGTAAAATGCAACTGTCTATAAACGCTTTTCTTTTCACTCGATGTTCAGTCAGGTAAACTGATCAGCATATTTCACGGCTATCTTATACTCGTGATAAGAATAATAAAAAGACATTGGTAACGAAAATCCCATTTCAATGATAATAGCTCATGTTTAGTATACAGAAATACTTATATCTCATACACGACCAAGGTTATCATGTGTATTTCATATACTTGTCAATGTGGGGTTTCTGCGATATAGAAAGTGGTTGTTATGATATATTGTATATATATTTTTGTATGTATTTTCTTTTGTATTTGTGTTTGTATTGTTATATATGTCTATTGTAAATAAAAAGCATGAAAATCCGCTGTAGTTACTCAAGCAGAATTTATATGTAGAAAAGATTTGTTTTTATTTGCTCTTTAAAGGGATTACATGTTCAATGTCTATGGAAAAAAAAATATATATATACATATCGACGTCATATAAGTTTGTTTATAGAAATCCATGGTAAATAAATAATAGAATGATCTACTCGGTGCCTGAGTTATTTATACACATAAACTAGCTCTAGATAATGTGTTTAGGTGAAAAATAAATACACGATAAAGATTAGCATTTTGTTACAGTTTCTTTACATATAATATTCCAATTGGTGCCAATATATGAAATATTTTTAATACTCAATAGTTACAAAATCGCTAGATTGTAGGAGTTGTCTCCCATAAACATCAAATCGCCATCACAACGAATATAAATTCAGCAAAAACCATGTTTTATTGGAATTTTATTTGTCGCAAAACAGTTTTGTGAAATACATGCAATTACTTTTCGAGTTCATCCCAAAATCTTATTTGTTAAGTGTTAGTCACGTTTCCCCCAGGGGTCGATATTACTACCCCTTGTACCAAGGATATGGCTGATAATGTTTGAAAATTAATGAAAAAAATTGTACATAATGAAATGAACCGGGTTAATGACAACGGACATACGCCATGGCAGTGTGATATAAAGAACATTTTGCCTGAACAGCGGTGCTACGGCCTACTCTTATTTCAAAGTCCAACTGTCAAAGAGTCATTTATGTGAACGCCAACGTGTACACGGGGCTTCGGTTTTTTCGTCCCATCCGAACGACCAGATCATTGATCCTTGTCAGGCCCTCGTGCTGAACCACTTCGAAATCTCAGGGGAACTTCTCGGCCTACTCTTACTTCAAATTCCAATTGTCAAAGAGTCATTTTACGTGGACGCCAACGTGTACACGGGGTTTCGGTTTTTCGTCCCACCCGAACGACCACCAGACCATTGTTCCTTGTCAGGCCTTCGTGCTGAACCACTTCGAAATCCCGGGGGAACTTCTCGTCCAACACCGATATCGAACCTCGGTAGGCCTACTCCTGGTTGGTGAGTCAACGATATACTCACCGTAGCCCCCGTACTCAATCTAGAAGACCCAAGTCGCCAATGTGATTTTATTAAGATTTGCATTACATTATTTTTATTTGATGCTGGGACATTATGCCCATATGGTAGTTTGGTTATGATACTATGTGAAATATTATGGAAGACAGCAGCTTTAATTGAACACATCTTAATATATGGTTTAACGGAGCAGATCAATATGGTTAAATCTGCCCGTAAGGAGAATGAAAATTCTATATCCGATGGTCTAGAGAGTTGATTATCGTCTTGTCGTGTGAACAGATGTCTAAATAATAGTTTATACATGTATAACATGTGAAGCCAAAACTAAAAGAAAGATCTACAAAAAGCAGATTTGGCTGTTATATAACGCATCTTTAAATGAATGAAATTAAAGATACATTATGGGAGATTAGATAAAGAGCTGGCAGTTCTCACTATAATAGTTAAAAACTAGATAATGTAAAGGCAATTTGCTAAAAAATTTCAGTTAAATTGATCCACTATGAACCGAGAATTAGGCGATTGAAATTTCGGCCTAGCCTCGATGATCATTACTAAAGTCGGTACGATAAAAAATATAGTTTCGATTATCCATTTCATGATTAAATCATAAATGAAATTTGAGCAACAAATAAGAAAATAATTAAGTAAATAACGCAGACTAGCGATGAAATCGAGAGTTGATTATGGTCTGGATAAGTTAATTAATGTCTAATTAATAATAATTTAGAAAACATTTCAGACCTAAAGAAATACCTGCAATAGGCAGATTTAGCTCTTGCATAATGTATGTTTAATCTAGCTCGAAACTGTTGTTGGCTGTAGATTATCGAAGACTTCTATGTTAAAATTCAGTTCTAGACATCGATACTAAACAAAATTGTTATATTTCATAACTCTTAGTGATCTACAGAATTGACAAAGAGAGAGAGAGATAGAGAGAGAGAGATGGGGTTTAAGGTCCACTCGACACAAACCAGGTCATTTCAGGACTAACACATGGTTCAATTTTATTTCCATAATTCGCTTGCGCGTAGGGGTCTTTAGCCGTAGGGGGAAACCGGAGGACCCGGAGAAAACCCACGAAGTTGGACAGGCGGCCCTACTCCTTGTCACGTACAACCGGGGATTCGAAACCACGCCAGTTGACTCAATGACAGACTTAATGATACAGCACGCACGTGCCAACCATTCAGCCATCCAACCCCGAACAGAATTGACAAGAGAGGACATGCGCTTCACTCGGTCACAGACCTTACTACATGTATAATCTAAAGCAGACTAATACACCAAACCCTCTTGCGACAATAAGAAAGTAATCTCCCTCTTATTCCTAATCATAGGTCGAACGGCGTCGGGGAGGGGAATTTATATTTCGCCAAATTTGACGGACTGATAGTAAAAGGGAAATAACTCTTAATGGCATGCAATTGCCATGTCGGAGATTAAACGTTTTATACAACAGAATTTTATAGCTGCCTTTTGACAGTCTCATACCCCTCCAAAAACTTGATTTTTAATTGTTTTTATAGTGAAAGCGTTTCAAATACTTCTTTTGATATTGCCTACTTCCTTATTTATTTATTTTAAAAGAAAATCCACGCCCATAAGTGTTCAACATTTCGCCAGATGTTTTTTTTTTCAAATCGATATTTATTCAAAATAACAAATTTCTATAAATGCATCTTCATGTTCACGCCGACTTTCCTCGAATATAATAATGACGGGACCGTTAGGTCAGGTGAAGGCTAACGAACACCGTTGGGTCCTTTTCAAAGGGTTCAATGGTAGGCCGCGAAACGCGCGGAGGTACAATGTAAAAATCGTGTTATAAGGAAAACCAAAATGACCTTTTAAATATTGTCAAATCTAATAAGGAAATCAGAGAGATCACTCGACCTTTTTGACCCAGTGACTTCATATGAAGAAATCTGAAATTGGCAGAGTCAAGATGATACCCCATCTCAAACAACTTTATTTCAATAAATCGTAATAAGGACTGTACAAGATACCTACCAATTATTTTTGAAAGAAACGAAGTTGTCAAAAATAAAAGGTTAACAATACTGAAATCATAGGAGAAATCAGAAATGTCCTGGAATATCCAAATATATCCCTTGAGGTGCCCTCGTCCCGTTCCAATCCACCCGAACAATTGACTGACAGGTTAGTTCTCTAGTCAGTCTTTTTCCATGGAAGCCTATAGCTATCATTCGTAATTTCTACCTATCGCCCCTTCTGAACGCGGAAGTCGAAAAGTAGACGTTAAGACAAAATGTGGGACGACAGCACGCTATACAAGCCGAAATCGACTTGACAATAGGAAATTAAAAAATAAACACATCGCGATAAAAGAGAGAGAGGGACTAACATATGGTTCAATTTTGATTCAATAATTCGCTTGCGCGTAGGGGTCTTTAGCAGTGGGAGGAAACCGGAGGACAAGGAGATAGCCCCCGAGGTTGGACAGGCGATCCCACTCCTTGTAACGTACAACCGGGGAATCGACACCACGCCAGTTGCCTCAATGACAGACCATATACATCCCCCTCCCCCTCCGCGATAATAGCGCAGCTCGTTTTGTCGGAACTAGTATAGCGTATACTCGACTTTCGTCTTGATGTCAGTAAGAAGGCGCCAACACGCATGCCAGGCCAAAATGCAACTCCAAAAGTAGAAATTAGGAAACTAGCACAAAGTCCAAAGCGAAACTAGAAAAGTCGAAAGCACGACAGCAAGTGCAGTGTGTTTATTTCCTAATTTCTTATTTTCGAGTTGCACATTCGCTTGGTATGCGTGTTGACGCCTTCTTACTGACATGAATAAAAACAAAAACATGACTAAGTCGAAAGTCGACAAGACGCAACACAAGCCAAAATGCGAGGGGTAGCTATTTCTTGATTTCCTATTTTCGAGTCGATTTTGGCTTGTATAGCGTGCTGTCGCCTCACATTTTTATCATAACTTTCGAATTCTAAAAACTACGAATGTTAGTTATAGGATTCCAAATTTTTCACTGCCAGTGAGTCAAGCCTGGCAAATAGGACTGAAACGAGGGCCCTGATCTGAACAGTTTGTCTATTACTAAACCATTATGAAATAAAAAGTCCCATGGATAAAACAAGACAAATTATTTTATTAAATAAACACAAAGAGCAAATCGTATACGAGTCCTACTCTTTATTTTAAAAATATGTGTAATGGATAGAACATAATAGAGGTTTTAAAACAATCGTCTTAAGATGTCGTGTCTAATTTCAAAACCCGTCTGGCTGTTTTAGGAGGTGTATTTTGAATTCATAAGATTGTATACATTAAATCTGTACGATCATGAGGAATAAAGACATGAAATCTCATAATTGCCTAGCTCAAATATTTCGGAATTGTGCAAAAATTAGAACAATTAATAAACATCACGTATGTCAACAATATCAATCCATTTATATTCCTGCAATAACAAAGACTTATGATATTATTCTGGACTCGTGGCGCAAATAAAACAACATGTGTTTGTTGAAACAAACCTTTTCCAATATTTTCCTCATTCTCAACTCGGACTATTTACACGGCGTTTACAGCAGACGATATTTGTTTGGTAGTCACGTGGTGTTGGTTAGCAGACGATATATCCGGAGAATAGAAAAGCAGTGGCGCATATTAACGTCTGAATGTTAT